TGTTTAGAGGCAGGAAATCTCATGAGAGTAGACTCCGTCTTTCTTCTGTGAAGCAACTGGTGGTTTTGAACCGTGTGCCTTTGGGTTGGCACTACAACGCCTTACTACTAAGTCACCAGAGGTTAACTGCAATCACAGTAATAAAGAAAAAAACCCAACAAAACAAAACACCCAAAACAAACAGGGAGCTCTAGTGTCCTAGTGGCACGAAGCTGCACTGCAATCCCAGAGGTCCATGGTTTGAATCCACCAGATGCTCTGCTGGAGAAGGAGGGACAATCTCCTCCTGTACCAGTCAGATCCGACTTGATGGTACACACACACAAAAATAATAATAAAAAAATTAAAAAACAAAGCAAACAACAACCAAACACTTGAGTAAATATAGGTAGACATGAAAGATGAGGAAATTAATACAACCATAAGTGTATATAGATTGGTCGAATATAATTCTACATGGGTATTTGTTGTTGTTGTTGTTACGTGCCATCTAGTCATTTGTGACTCATAGCGACCCTATGTACAAGAGCCCTAAATGCCATTCTATCCTGTGCCAACCTCCCTGTCTCAAACACATTCATTCCCACCACTCCACTCACAGAATCGATCCATCTCATCAAGGGTCTTCCTTTCCTGTGCCGTCCCTCCACTCTCCCAAACATGATGTCCCTCTCCAAGGACCCGTCCCTCCTTGCAACATACCCAAAGTATGTCAGACGAAGCTTCAGAATCTTTGACTCCAGGGAGCATTCTGGCTTCACCCTCTCCAGGACAAACCTGTTTGTTCTCCTAGCAGTCCATGGTATAGTCAACACTCTTCTCCAGCACCACAACTCAAAGGCATCAATTCTTTTTCTATCATCCCAAATATATCCAAGGATTTGGTAAACATAAAGCAAAGTTCTGAAAACTTCTTGTTTTTACAGGAAAAGGAAATTTCTGTAAACTTTTACCCAAACAACAATAAAAATTTCAAACCAAACAAAATATCACATGGTATTGGACAAATGTGTCATGAAAGACTTCTGTAAAGTGTTCAAAAACAAGGGCCTCATTGTTGTGTGGCTGCAAGTCAGTATCAACTGCCAGCTGACCTCCCCAGTACATTTTCAGAAGCGGTCAGTCACATGGGAGATTATCAGCCTTCCTTTCTCAGAGCAGCTGTTGGATTTGAACTATGTGCCTTTGACTTGGGTAGTGCAACTCCTTACCAGTAGGCTATCAGAGCTCCCTGTCTGTCTCATTGCTATCAGCTACTGTTGGGTTGAGAGGATTCATAGCAACCCTAGGAACAACAAACTTGGACCCTGATCTATTTCATACCATCCTCCTCATCTCTGACACCCTTGAGCCCATTGCCACAGTTGCTGTGTCAATACACCTTGTTGAGGGTCTTCCTCTCTTTCTCTGACCTTCTACCTTTCCAAGCATGATGTCTCTTTCCAAGGAATAAATAACCCCTGTACAAAATCTTGACGAGTGAGAAAGACTGATTATTTATGCCTTTGAATCATGGTATTGGCAAAAATATATTGAACTGTACCAGAAGCTGCCAGAATAATGATCAGATCCACAGGAATGAGGGTGGTGAGGAAGGAAAGCATCATGATGCCTTGGGTATCTTATCAGGAGGGACCAGTCCTTATAGGAGGATGTCATGCTTGATAGAGAGAGGTTCAAGGAAAAAGAAGAGTTTCAATGTGATGGGTTTACAGAGCGGCTGCCATAGAGGACTCAAATGTCAAGACTCCGCAGTGTCCCATTCTATTACATCTAGGGTTGTTACAAATTAGAATAGAATTTGGGCCAAGGACGGCTCAAGGTGATGATGGTTTTCACAGAACTATTTGGGACGTAGTAAATATTGAAGCCGTTTAAATCCAAGACCAATGAGAAAGCTACGTGTGGTCCACATTCTTCTCCGGAGCTGGCAAAGGGCAGAGAACTCTAATCAGAAGCAACTGTGCTTCAAGGCATTGCCCACAAGGAAACGCAACTGTGTCCAAGAGGTTTAGATGCAAATGATGTGGTCAACCCTTTACCCAAAGTAAACAAGAACACCTGGGTTAGTACATGGACAACTAACTGATGGTCAATAAATACCATTTGCTGATCTGTTACTTTTATATAAAACTTTGAGGTTGCATTTTCTTTATGGATTCTCAGTTACCTCTGAGCAAATAAAGCTATTCCATTTTTTAGACAGCAGCATGAGTCTGCATTCTTCTCAGGCTTGAAAGCAGGAGCTCTGGCCCAGAGCAGGCAAATGAGTTCTTAAAATGAAAACACACACACACACAACTTTGTCATTATTGCAAAAGCATTTGTTACAGAAAAAAGTAGTGAATAAGATAAACGAAAAAAAAGGGGGAAACTCAATCTCAGTACAAGTATTTTATATCCTTCCAGATGTTACAAATTTTTTTTTAAAAGGCTGTTTTATATATTTTCTAACTTGTATATAACCACGTAGTGTCTCAACGTCATCTCACGTTAGTATCTTAAGGGCTGCATAGCATTTTTGGATGAACGACTACATATGTCATTTACAGAGACTGGACATTCTGGTTTCTTTTGCCAGTGGAGTCAACTATGACTCATAGCGACCCAGTGACCAACAGATCTGAACCCTTTCCTATCCTGCAGCGTCCTCACGATATGTCATGTCCAAGGCCATGGTAATGATGGTTACTGTGCCAATGCAACAGTTGAGGGTTTTCCTTTTTCACTGACCCTCTGTTTTCCCCAGCATGATGTCTTTCCCCTAGCCACTGTTAAATTTTAGGAGCGATGTTTTGGGTACTATAATAATTTCCTTTATTCTTTTCTATGAGCCCAGCAGATGATGACGATGCCCCCCTCTTTATCCAGGAGAACATCACAGCTCTACAAAAAGGAACATTAAGTGGGGAATTAATATTAAAAAATACAAAGACCCTTCTTGTCCAGGAGCGAAAATGTTATGCGATTGCATTCACTTGCACGTTGGATTGATCGTGAGTCACTGGGGTTTCGGGGGGGGGGGGGGGGGTTTTCAAGAACACAAGCCCAGGTGCGGCCACTGAGCCAGCTCTGACCTTAACCAAGGTGACACGAGGGACGGGAACGCGCGCCCACAGGGGCGGGGCGCGAGTGCGAGGACGCGCGCGTGCATATGTGTGCGTGCGTGTGTCGGTGCGTGCGCGCGCGCGCCAGCGGCGGGACTGCGGCTGCGCAGGCTGGGCGAGGCCTGCTCTAGGTACCTGCTCGCCGTCCTCCTCCCGCTGCCCTCCTCCTGCTGCCCCTGCATCGCCACGTCACTCTGGGGTCTGATGGCGGGACCAGGGCCCGGTTCCCCCCTCTTTCTGTTAGGGTCCCCCTCTTCCTCTCTGTTGTTCGCGCGCCTCTGTGTGTGTGTACGTGGTTGGGGTGCTGGAAGGCGGTGCAGGAGTGGCCACGCCCCCTCACTTCCCTTCCGCGCTCCCTCGTGGTCAAGTTCACCGCCATGGGATCATTCCGACTGCCGGCGCATCTCCATCAGGTTCCGAGGCTGTCACTCTGTAGGGGAGGGGATGTGTTTCTCCCAGGGGGGCTGCCGGTGGATTTGAACCGCGGGAATCTGTAGCCTTTCTTTTAGCAGAGCAACAAACACTATGGATGACAGCACGGGTTAATGGTTTAGCGAATCACAACACCCCCCCACCCCACCCCCGGCCACGTTTATCAGCTCTCAGCCCACAGTTTTGTGTCCTGGAAGGCCTTTTGGAAGGTCTAGTTATCCCTGCTACTGGAGGTCAATAAAGACTTCTTAACTCTATCTGGGTTGATTGTGTGCTGAAACCGATTCATAGTGGAATCTCTAGCTGCATTTTTTTCAGAAACTGTAAATCACACAGGAGGAGGTTGCTCATCATGCCTGTAGAGCATCAGGTGGATCCGAACCTCTTGCCTTTGGGTTGACAGCGCAACTTCTTACCTCAAAGTTGAAAAGGCTTGAGATGTGTCTTCCTTGCCACTGGCATCAAAGATGCTGTTAGAATTGCAACCCCATTGCTGTCATTTAGAAGGAACCTGCTAACACAAAGGTGAACAGTTTGAATCCACCAGGCTCTCATAAAAGCCTCAGAACCCAGTTCACAGGAGGGTGTTTGATTTTTTTAGGGGCCTCTCAATTAGATTCTACTCATAGTAACCCTGTAAGAGGAAGTAAAGAATTGCCAATAGGGTTTCTAAGGCTGTAAACCTGTGGAAAGACCTATTGGTGGGTTCAAACTGTGCCTGAATGTTAATAATTAAGTGCTAAACCACAATGTTACCAGCGCTCCTTAATGTAAGTTTCCAGTAATCGGCCAGTTTTGGTGGCCTAGTGGCAAGAAGCCGCTCTGCAATCCCAGAGGTGTGTAGTTCGAATCCACTAGCTGTTCTGCTGGAAAAGGAGGGACAGTCTCCTCCTGTGCCAGTCAGATCCGATTTGATGGTACACACACACTAATAATAATAATAATTTTAAAAAGATGTCAGTAATCCTTGAGAGGAAGCTCTGGTAGCTTACTGGTTAGGAATTGTAACCAAAGGTATGAGGTTCGAATCCACCAGCTACTCTGAAGAAAAATGGGAAGTCTTCTGTGTAATTCACTGCCTCTGAAAACGTGCAATGGGTCAGTCCCAACTCCACGGTCCTGAACAACAACAATCCCTGAGAAAGGATTCTTGTTTATTTTGTCCTTGTAGAAAGGATTCTTCTTGAAATCAGCATAAGTTTAAGGGTACCTTTATTTTGTCTTCAAATAAACTTAAAAGATTTAAAAAAAAAGTAATTTCAAACAGGTGGGTTTCCTAACAGAAATTAAAATTCCAAAGCATTATTTATTTCTGAGCTAACGAACGACTCAAGACATGCATCTGAAGAACCTTAGATATACCTTAGGCCTCGGGCTGTCTTAAGCACTAAAGAACAGCTCCCGGATTTGTTGTGGTCTCTCTGTTGCAGGAAACTGTTTCCGATCGTCTGAATTTCAGTCATGTCCAACTACTTGGAAAACTTCCTAAAAGCGACGAGCCATCATCTTGTGTATTCGAGATTACCCCAGAGGTTATTAAGAAGTAGAAGGTTTTTTGGAGCTGTCCCTCCATCCGGCTTGAGAAGGCGAGTTGTCATTACGGGCATTGGCTTAGTCACGCCTCTTGGTGTTGGGACGCAGCTGGTCTGGGACCGTCTTCTCCGAGGAGAGAGTGGAATCGTGTCCCTGGTTGGTGAAGAGTTCAAGAGCCTCCCCTGCAGTGTGGCTGCGTATGTACCCCGAGGTGGTAATGAAGGCCAGTTCAATGACCTAAACTTCGTGTCCAGTTCTGATCTCAAGTCCATGTCTTCTCCCACTGTGATGGCCGTCAGTGCTGCAGAGTTAGCCCTGAAAGATTCTGGCTGGTGTCCCCAGTCCGAAGCTGACCGGGTGGCCACCGGTGTTGCGATTGGCATGGGAATGGTTCCTCTTGAAGTTGTCTCAGAAACGGCTTCGACGTTTCAGACAAAAGGCTACAACAAAGTCAGCCCGTTCTTTGTGCCCAAGATTCTGATCAATATGGCAGCAGGCCAGGTCAGCATTCGCCATCAACTCAAGGGCCCCAATCACGCCGTCTCCACAGCCTGCACCACAGGAGCACATGCTATAGGAGATTCTTTTCGCTTTATAGCCCACGGCGATGCTGATGTGATGGTGGCTGGCGGCACAGACTCATGCATTAGTCCCTTATCTCTTGCCGGATTCTCCAGAGCTCGAGCTCTGAGCACAAACCCTGATCCTAAGCTAGCATGTCGACCCTTTCATCCTGAGAGAGATGGTTTCGTGATGGGAGAAGGAGCTGCGGTCCTTGTGCTGGAAGAACAGGAACATGCTCTTCGAAGAGGGGCCCGAGTTTATGCAGAAATCCTGGGCTATGGACTCTCAGGTGATGCTGGTCACATAACTGCCCCAGATCTGGAGGGAGACGGCGCTTTCAGGTAATGGTGGTTTCAGTCAAAAATGACGCTTCAAAGTCATGTTATCTGGTGTTCTTGGTGTACAGTTGTCTAGGTTTTCTTTTTCTTCACATTTACGCTAAGCGAAGTGGTTTGTTTCTTCCCTCTTCATTTTATATTGATTTGCATACAAAACTCATATATATTCTGTATTTTTCATGTACATTGCATTTCATATAGTCCTAAATTCACATTGTGTTTCAAATGATCACTCCTGTACATCGTGTTTTATAAAAGTAATCACCATTGATCGATGCCTACTATTACTCCATATTCTCAGGTCCCCAATGGATCTTTCCAAATTCCTTCACTTCCACACCTCTCCTATATTCTTTTATCCTGTGATATTCTTCCCTCCCAACCCTTTACTACCCACCTCTTCCCCTTTTGGACTTTTTAAAATTTTTTAAATTTTATTTTATTATTTTGTGTGTGTGTACCATCAGATCTGATCCGACTGGTACAGGAGATTGCCTCTTCTCCAGCAGAGAGCATCTGATGGATTCTAACTGCACGCCTCTGGGATTGCAGTGCAGCTTCCTGCCACTAGGCCACCAGAGCTCCCCTTAAGATATTTTTTTAAATGCAAGTAAAAAGAGATTAGGGAAAATCCTTTGCAAAGAAAGATACAGAAGATCCAAGTATCCTTAGACCATATCTTCCCCCTTCTGGACTTTACCCACCAAGTGTTTTTTAAGTACTTTTAACTTATTTGGGTTATTTGAAAACATTTGTACATCTTTACAGAAATTCTAGTCAGGACTAAAACAATGTGAAGAAGACCATGCAGATCTTGGCCAGGTTTTCTTTCATCCAGTTGGGCTTAAAGTTAGAATGTCCTTCCCATTTTCTGCTCTTTGGACCATCATGAGATGTGCACAGAAAAGCCAGTGCTTTCTTTTTTGTCTAGCCTCTCACATTTCAATACAGGCTTTTGCTGTTAATCAGTGAGAGCTTTAATATGCATGTGAATCACCAGGGGACCTTGTTAAAATGCTGATTATACCTCTTTAGGTCTGGGGTGTTGCATGAAATTCTGCATTTCTAACAGGATGCTGATGATGGTACAATAAACAAGTTGGGGAACAAATTACTACTGTCGTATAAGAGATTGATAAGGTGTACAGTCTGAAGCAAAACCATTTGTGATATGTTAGCTAACAGGCTAGCTTTCTCAGGTCATGTATGTTTTTACTGGAGTCTGCAAAGGGATAGAGATTAAATGTTTTCAGCCCTGTGGGCTACAGAGTCTCTGACATAGCAGTTCTGCCTTGTGGCACAAAAGCAGCCGTCAACAGGAAGTGAGTGGGCATGGCTGTGCTGCTGTGAAGCTGGATACAGACACAGGCAATTGGCAATCCTTTGCCAACCCCTGAGTTATATTAGTAAGGAGTTGCTGTTGCTATAAATATCAATCATAGTAAGAATCCATTGAAGAAACAGTTAGGTTTAGGAGTACCATTTAGCACGTTTCAAATCACACACTGCCTCTTAGAAAACATGTGTATGTTACAGTTGTTAAGTACCATCGAGTCAGAACCGACTCATAGCTGACCCTCCAGAGGGCTTTCAGAGGCTGTAAAGCACATGGAAGGAGATTGTCCATCCTTCTCCCACGGAGCAGCTGGTGGATTCGAACTGCGTGCCTTTGGGATTGCAGCACAGTTCCTTACCACTAGGCCACCAGTGTGCCCCATATGTATGCTAGAGACTGAAAGTCCTAATGTTAATATCTGTAAGGTTTCCTAATTCAGAAAGATTTTTTGATTTTTACTTTTTGGTTTTGTTTTTTTAACCTGGCTTTGTACGTCTTCTTTTTAGAACTTTTATAGTTGTTACCACTAAAGAAAATTTTGACTGTTTATATAAAACATTGAAATGATGGTATAAAAGCTTTAAGTTTAGTGAAAACCATACCAAGTTTTACATTTAAGTATGAAAGAAAAATTAAAAGTTAGAGTTCCCTGCATTTAAACAATTTTTCCTACCTTCAGGGGGGAAAAAAATCCTAAAAGAAAAATTATTCTAGATTTGAGTCAACTTAGCTTTTCCCCTCAGGGAAAATGCTAGTTCAAATAAATGGAGATTTGTTTGATTAAAGATTATAAAGTCCATATGCTTATGTGTTCATTTCATGGTGTGTAATCATTTGAGAATATTGGTTGTGATTTATTTTTCAAATTTTTTTTTATGGTTATGATTCTTATTTACATGCAGTTTGTATTAACCACATGCCAGTCCAAGATGTGGGGTTTTTTTTATTAGAGCAAAGTATTCTTTTAATTCATTGTACTCGGATACTTATGTGATAAGCCATACACAAGGTAAGATGAGATGAATCTTCTGTTAAAATTAAGCATGTTGTTGTTGTTATATGCCATTGAGTCACCTGCAACTCATAGCGACCCTATGTACAATAGCCCTAAGCCTTGCTCTGTCCTGTGCCAGTCTTACTGTCTCCGACACACCTACCCCTATTACCCCAGTCACTGAATCAATCCACCTTGTTCTTTTTTTTTTGTTAGATGCATGGCTGCCGCTGTTAAAAATGCTGGCATACAAGCTGAAGAAATAACTTATATTAATGCCCATGCGACTTCCACACCACTGGGAGATGCTGCTGAAAACAGAGCTATCAAGCGTCTTTTCAAGGACCATGCTTATGCCCTGGCCGTTTCTTCAACGAAAGGGGCTACCGGACATCTGCTGGGAGCTGCGGGGGCTGTGGAGGCGGCTTTCACGGCTCTGGCTTGTTACCATCGAAAACTGCCACCTACTTTAAACCTGGAGCGTAGAGAACCAGAGTTTGATCTCAACTATGTCCCCCTGATAGCCCAGGACTGGAAAACTAAAAGAAGATGTATTGGGCTTACCAATTCCTTTGGTTTTGGTGGAACGAACGCAACACTATGTATTGCTGGAGTGTAGGACAGCTCATTTGTAATTTATCATTTATTGTTCAATGCTATCAATTAAAAAATAATTGAGTAAAGAAATAATGTGTATTTGTTTAAATACATTTATATCAATGACCAGATATGTGTCTGTGTCAGGATTTCTTAACCTCAGAACTCTTGAGAGATTGGGCCAGATTTTTTTTTTTGAGAAAATTTTGTATTTAAAACTAGCCAGCTGAACTCAGTTTAGATGATCCCTATTTTGTTGGCAACATCCATACCGTTCACAGTCAGGAGCAAGTCGCACATAGGCCTTCTTCTCTCCATCAGGCCTGACCAAGGTATTGACCTTGGCCACATCACTGTCACAGAGCTTCTTTACAGCTTGTTTGATTTGGTGCTTGTTAGCCTTGACATCACAATGAACACAAGTGTGTTGTTATCTTCTCTCTTCTTCATGGCTGACTCAGTGGTCAGGGGAGACTTGATGATGGCATAGTGGTCAAGCTTGTTTCTCCTGGGGGCGCTTTTCCAGGGGTATCTGGGCTGCCTTCAGAGTCTCAGAGCCTTAGGCCGCTGGAAGGTGGGTATTTGCGGATCTTTTTTTTTTTTTGTGGCTGTGGATGCCCTTCAGGACGCCTTCTTGGCCTTTAACACCTTCAGTTTTGGGAGGGCAGGGGCTTCCTTCTTCGCATTCAGCGTCATCTTCTCGGAAAGGCCAGATAATTCTTTATTAGGGAAGGCAGAGGGGGCTGTCCTGTGCATTGCAGCATCACTGGCCTCCCCCCACTAGATTCCAATAGCCTTTCTCCAAGTGGCAATGAAAAGTGTCTCGGGAGGTTACCAAATGTCCCATGGGGGACAGAATCACCCCAGATGTGACCCAGTGATCTAGTACTGTGGGTCCACTAGGACCCCGAGACACCAATGGGTGACTTCTTAACTAGTAACTAAAATGTTGATGCTTTGAACCCACTCAAGGTGTGTCTTAAAAGACAGATTCTGAACAGTTTGGTCACAGCTTTGAAAAGTCCCCCTGGGGTAAGCTACAACTTTGAGTCCCTCTGTGGCAACTAACAACAAGAAGTCAAATCATCTTCAATGCCGTTTCACTTTTTTTTTCCTTTTCACCAATAATTTATCAAGTACCTATGTGGACTGTCAAAAGAACAAATTGTCTTAGAGAAAGTGCAGCCAGAGTTTTCCTTGGAGGACAAAGCTTCATCTCACATACTTCAGGCAACTACCTCTGTGTGGAGGGACAAGAAAAGAGAGGAAGGCCCTCAATGAGACGGATTGACACAGTGACTGCAGCAATGGGCTCTAGTGTGTCAGAGATGGTGAGTACGGCATACTCAACACCTAACAGCAGTTACTCTGCTAGGCACTGCTCCTGGAATATACAAATCCAGGCATATTATCCCTATATTTTCAGGGAGATAGTACAATATAACTGTTTGCATCATTGATAATACACTTGTGAGTGTAAGTTTTCAGCACGAGTGAGTTTATCTACCACCATCTAGCCCCTTTTCATCTTGTTCATATTGCCTGTTGGTAAATTAGTGGAATTTCCCTTAATTCCTCAGGCACCAGCTCTTTGAAACAGGGATGTGAAAATGCATGTGGCATTACTACTGCTTATTGTGTTTGTGGAGCTCTGATGGCCTAGAGGTAAGGAATTGTGCTGCCAACCCAAAAGCAGGCAGTTCGAATTCACCAGCCAGCCCGCAGGAGACAGATGGGCAGTCTTTTTCCTTTGCTCTTTACAGCATCTGAAACCCCTCTAGAGGGTCGGCTGTGAGTCAGTTCTGACTCAACAGTAAATTACAAGTGATTCATGGGAAAACTCTCCGGGAAGTGGAGAAGCAATGATGGGTGACTAAGCCGGTCTCGCTGGCCCACCTACGCTGCTGTTAACCGCAGAAAGCCTTGGTGGGTGCTGCCAGCATTTTCTCCGTGAGGACTGGCAGATCTGCTTCCTGCTCGTTCTAAAGTAAAGTGACCACGTTCATCCTCATCAAGCAGGAAGTATATGGAGGGGAAAGGAGGTGCTGTGTCCCCTCAAGCTTCAGTCTGGACCAACGGGATGGTGCAGAGTTCAAAATCTGGTGGGCGGCTGCACATAATCCACAGTTGATAAAACACAAACAGGCATTCTCCTGGTCTCTGCTTTCAGCCAAGATTTGTCTATCATTGTTGTTGTTGTTAAGCCTTTGAGTCGTAGGCGACTCATAGTGACCCTGTGAACGAAAGTCCTCAACACTTGTGTGACTTTCATCCTTTCTCCAGGTTCATAGGGTTTTCAGAGGCAAGCTATTACGGAAGTGAATGCCAAGCTTGTTTTAATCAGGAAGTCCCACCAAACACTCTCCACCATGGGTAACCACTGCCACATTTGACACATCAGTGTCACAGTGTACAGCATCACAGCAACCCCATGATCTTCCTGGTGCAGTTCTTTGTCAATGTACTGGCCTAGCCATTTGTGATTGATCTTCAGCAATATTGCTGAAAGTGAGGAGGAGGTCTTGAAACATTTGCTGCAGAAGATCAAAGACGATAGCTTTCAGTATGGATTACATCTCAGCATCCAGAAAAAAAAATCCTTACCACTGGGCCAATAGGCAACATCATAATAGACGGAGAAGAGGTTGAAACTATCAACAGCTTCATCTTACCTGGATACACAATCAACACCCAATGTTCCGGCAGTCAGGAGATCAGAAGATGTATAGCATTGGGAAAGTCTGCTGTCAGGGACCTCTCCAAAGTACTAAGGAGCAAGGATGTCAATTTGAAGACCAAGGTGCACCTGATTCAGGCCATGGTCTTTTCAATCACTTGGTATCTATCCAAGAGCTGGACAATGAATAAGGATAACAGAAGAGGAATTAACACCTTTGAGTTGTGATGTTGGAGAAGAGTACTGAAAATCTTATAAACTGTCAACAAAATCAAACAGATATATGTCTTTTGGTTTATTTTGTTTTTATTATTCATTTTAATGAAAAGTTACAGAGACTTTAGGTTTCCATTCATTCATTGTTGCACCTTTGTCCCTGCCCACCACCCCAGTACACTCTTCTCTTTGAAAAGTAAAAGAAAAATTCTTTCATTGTTTTACAATCCCTCCCCCCAGGTCCACCCCACTATGCAGCCTTCATTCTGGACTCCTGACATGATGATAATACCTAATCATATATCCCTTTTAAACAGTTCTCTCCCTCATCTGTTTCAATGCAGTATACATTGTTTATCTCATCTTTCTTAGTTTTCCATCAACTCTGATGTCAGTCCTTTTCTACAACAGTGGCACTATGCAGTATTTGTCCTTTTGTGACTGAGATATTTCACACAGCATAACATCTTCCAGGGTCACCCATTTTGAATAACATTGCATGAGTTCCTTGTTGTTCAATGTAGCGTAGTATTCCATTGTGTGGATATACCACAGATATGTCTTGAAGAAAGTACAACCAGAATGCTCCGTAGAAGCAAAGATGATGAAGCTTTGTCTCACATACTTCGGGAATATTGTAGGAGGAGTGGGCTCACTGGAGTGTGCCGGAGATGATGAGGATGGCACAGGAGAGGACGGGGTTCCGATCTGTTGATGGGATGCTATGAGTCATGCTTAACTCGACGGCACCTGCCAACAACACTGACAATGACAATGATTAGCCTTTGAAGCAGCAGTTCACTGTCCTTTCTCCCCCAGAGCCCCTGACCTTTCTGGTAGCAGCTAGGAACTCAACCACTGCACCACCAGGGCTGCCAACCAGCCTTCATTTTTACTGGCACACATTCCTTTATTTAACTGAAATTTGCTGGGTGTCAACTGTGGGCCTCATTTCAGTCTTGGCACCAAGGATATAGTTTATCAGGAAATACTTCCTTGAGCTGGTGGAATCCATAAGGATATAGAGTACGGCTAGATTATGGAGGGAGAATGGAAGAAGTTGTTTCAGTCAGGGAGGGATGGAAGATGGCTAGATTTAGAATTTAGAGAAAATGCTTGTACTAAAGAAATGCACATAGTTCAATGAGGGATTGGAATAGGGGGGAGCAGACACAGCCAGACCATCTCGTGGAGGTCATAAAGAACCTTAACAATTTCACCACAATCCTTTGCCCTCTTCCCTTCCAGCCTGGTCCGGGCGCTATGGCCTCTGCAAAGAAGGGTGGTGAGAAGAAGAAAGGCCGTTCTGCCATAAGCGAAGTGGTGACCAGAGAGGACACCACCAACATTCACAAGCACATCCATGGAGTGGGGTTTAAGAAACGTGCTCCTTGGGCCCTCAAATAGATCCAGAAATTTGCCATGAAGGAGATGGGAACACCAGATGTTCGCATTGACACCAGGTTCAACAAAGCCATCTGGGCCAAAATAATAATGAACATCCCAGACCACATCCATGTATGGTTGTCCAGAAAACGTCATGAGGATGAAGATTCCC